CTCTTCACCTCGTTTCCTGCCCCTTCCACCTTCCTTCTCCCTCCTATCTCCTTCCTCCTTGTGTCCCTTTCTCCTTCTCCTCCCCTTGCTTGTCATCCTCTCCCTCTCCACCTCCCTTTCCTCTTTTCCCTCCACTCTTCCTCCTCATTTCCTCCTCCTTCCCTCCTCTTCCTGCCCCCCTTCGTCCCTCCCTCTCCTCCACCCCCACTCTTCCTCCTCCTCCTCCTCCTCCTCCTCCTCCTCCTCCTCTTCCTCCTCTTCCTCCTCTTCCAACTCCTTCCCTCTCCTTTCCTCCTCCTCTCACTAACAGCGGCAGGTACAAGCGAGCTCTCCACCTCGACCCCTACAACGTCAACACTCTCTGCAACTACGGTTGGCTCCTCCACGACGTCAGGAGGGATCACGATGCCGCGGAGCAGGTGAGAAGTAGTAGAGTCCAGCAGGCGCTGAGCACGACCCCAGCTGTACAAGCAGGCGCTTCGGATCGACCCGAACCATGTGATGACCTTGTGCAACTACGGGGCTCTGCTGCACGAGTATCTGCACGACGTGAAGGGCGACCTAAGGGAGGTGGAGGGCATGTACCAGAAGGTGAGGGAGGGCTGAGGGAGCGGAGCGGAGAGGGAGAGGGAGAAGAGGAGGAGGAGAGGGAGAGGGAGAGGAGGAGGAGAAGCAGGAGAGGGATGTGAAGGAAGGAGGAGAAACAAGGAGGAGCAGGTGGAGGAGAGGAACAGGGGAACGAAAGGTGGAGTTGGACGGGAAGGGAAAGGAGGAAGAGGAGGGAACAAGGAACAGAAACACAAGTTTTGTGAGGTATTCGGTGACTGTGCTGAAGGCCTTGAGAATCGATAAGAACCACGTGGACACGCTGAACAACTACGGGCTCCTCCTTCACAAGACCAAGTGTGACTTCGATGGTAAGTTGAAGGAGGAAGGTGGGGGAGACAGAGGAGGGAGAGGAGGAGAGCGAGGGAGGTTGGGGGGAGGGGGAGGAGGAAGAGGAAAAGGAAGAGGAGGAGGAGGAGGAGGAGGAGGAGGAGGAGGGTGCTGATTGCAATGTAGGGGCCGAAGAAATGTACCGAAGAGTCTTGCAGGTGGAAAAATTCCATGAATTTTCTTCCTCTCTCCGTTCATCTCCCCGTTCCTGCTCCTGCTGCTGCTGCTGCTGCTCCTCCTCCTCCTCCTCATCCTCATCCTCATCCTCATCCTCATCCTCATCCTCATCCTCATCCTCATCCTAATCCTAATCCTGCTCCTCCTCTTGCTTGTTCATTTCCTGTCCTCATATTCTCACAGCTGGATCCCAACCAAGTGGACACTCTCTGCTCCTACGTGAGTCATGGGAGGGGGGGGGCAGGGGAGCAGGAGGAGCAGGGGAAGAGGGGGGAGGAGTAAGAGGAGGTGTGACAAGCTGCAGGCCCTCTTGCTGCGAGACGTGAGAAAAGACATGCCGCATGCCAAACAGGTCATGTCCCCTCGCTTTCGCTTCCCTTCTGTTTCTCCCGCTCACTTTCAATTCTTCAGCTCGTTCGACGTGCAATGCAGCTTGACCCTGAGCACCCATGGCTGCAGCAGAACGCTGATGTGTTCCTGGCATAGCGAGAGGGAAGGGACTGGCGGAGTGAGAAGAGCACGAGAGGCAGGAGAACCAGAAGTGGTGAACAAGCAGGAGGGAGGAGGAGGAGGAGGAGAGGGAGGAGGAGGAGGAGAGGGAGGAGGAGACGGAGGAGGAGGAAGTAATACCTGGAGGACTCACAACATGATGGTTGTGCTCGTAGATCGCATCTGAGCCGGTTCCGTTCAACATCGCTGCTGTCATCGCCGTGAGCATCATCCATCGCAGCATGGTAGATAACTCAGTTTCCTGACTGTCGGGACAACCCAAAAATGTTTCCCCCATACCCCT